TTTATATCCTAATTCAACTATATTTAAATATATCGCCTTTACATCCTAATGATGGTTGCGTTCGAATTTCATGAAAATGAAATTAAAACTGCCTAACAAAATGGCCGCTCCTTGTACTTGTACGCAAATAGTATAAAAGTATGTAATACCAAGGTTGTGAACCCTCTAGAAGTCACAATTTTTATCAGATTTTAATGAAACTTAAAATATATGTTTATATCCTGAAGATCTGAGTCCCTTTCACTATTTGCACATATCAGACCGTAACTTCCTGGATTATGGGCCCTGATAGTACGAAAAATCACGTTTTTAGCTTCTTGACCCTCTAGAGGTCACAATTTTGATCCGATTTTAAAAACCGTTTATATATATCACTGTTACAATATTTTGATGGTTGAATTCAAATTTTGTAAAAAACGGATCAAAACTGCCGGATCAAATGGCCACTCCCTGTACGCAAATAGTGTTAAAGTATATAATAACAAGGTTGTGGAGGATTGTGGACCATCTAGAGGTCACAGTTTTTATCTGATTTTGATGAAACTTGAAATATGTTTATATCCCAAAGATCTGAGTCCCTTTTGATCTTTGTGCATTTGAGACCATAACTTCCTGGATTATGGCCTCTGATTGTACAGGTTTTTTTTATCATGTTCTCTATCCATCTCTTGCAATTAAAAGCCAGCAAAAAGGATTCTCTATTTTATAGCAATGTAACACTTAAAGTGCGAATAAGCCTTAACAAGTATGGATCACACAAACACATACAGTTTTTTTAGCTTGTTCTCTATCCATCTCTTGCAAAATGTGGGTGTATCATGCCTGGCAACTGCTGGTTTAAATTAAAACCAGCAAAAAGGATTCTCTATTTTATAGCAATGTGCATGTAACACTTAAAAGTTGCGAATGAGCCTAAACAAGAATGGATCCACACAAACACACGTACACAGGGTGAGGTTTTTCGAGGGACCCAAGAGGTGGGGCATACGTCATGTAGTCCATTTCCACTAAATTTGTTCTGTCCTCCACAACTTTCAGTACAACAAATGGTACATGTAATTCTGGATTCAAACTTGATAAAGCTGTCTTTTTTGATCGATCATTACAAGTATATTATGCCATAACTGTTAACACATTGTTATTGGCATAGCATTAGCAATAACCCTATATTATGCATAGCTTATATATTATTTATTATCATGTATGACTTCTGGCAAATTCTTTATAATATGAACAAAGACCATATAAATGACATTGTGACATGACAATAATACATATCTGTACTTCAGGTTTTACTACATGTAGGCCTATAACAATTTTTTTATAAAGATTTATATAACAACCAGGTATATTGTTTATGTGAACATTGCCAGATTATTTAGTGGAATTATAAACACCCTACTGTTAGTTAAAGAGTGTGCATGTTTTTGTATGGTTTATGGTACGTGTATGAATGAAATGTCAGTAATTTTATCCATGAATATATTCAATTATTTGTATTTATCAAAGTATTACTAAAAGGTTGACATATGAATAATACGGTCATGCTTGTAATTATGTGTTCAATGTGTAAATGTAAATATACGTTATAGAAATAGGCTATCTGAAGAAAGGCAAATTTTTTTTTAAAAAAAATATTTGGGGGGATATGGACTAAATTTACATATAGAAAGATTAAGCTGATATGCCTTAATTTGTCAAAGTTTTTAAGTGGTGTACATGCTTAGTATTTAAAAGTAGAGATAGACGGTTTCTTGTCAAGCCTCCTAAACACCAACCAACAGCAAAATCATCCCTGTTAAATTTAAAAATGTATCTCAACAAATCCCCCACCCCCCAAGATTCGGTGAACCGTCCATTTTTCGGGCAGTGTTTTTCCATTTTTGCGCACAAACATCAGAGAATAAGACCATATATCATAGAAATATAATAATTGTAAAATGAATTCGCTTGCGGTTGGTTTTGGAATACCATAATATTTAAGACCTCGCCCAATTACATTTGTGGAAAACTCGTTTTGGTTCATGATTGATCTTTTCTGAAAATTCGGGGTGACATAGAAAATTTTTGCCCCCCCCCCAACTGAGATTGGCTCCCTACGCCTATGCCCATACAGAAAGTTTTAATAGAATTATTACAAAATGTGTACTGAACTTTAAAAGTAAACATGTGAATAAAGTTCGACAGACCTCAGACTGTTAGACAGAGGTGACCATGTTAAATATGGGCTTATCAAAATATACAGAGTAATCCTATTTGCCACACTCACATCTATTAAAAATTCTACAGACATAACAATAACATGAAAATATTGTAGTGTTTTTACATCTATTAGACTGTGTTAACTGTATTCAACTATAGTCAGACAGTAGAAACTCCATTATACTTCTACCAGTTACCTCGTTCTCCTTACAAGGTTGTTTACTCATCCATTTTTTTTTTAAAAAAACATCTTTAAGAAAATATTGTTAAAATGTAGCTTAAAATGATACAAATATTAAGCAACTATGTCAATTCTTTCATGTACAATTCTTTCTTTAATCCCCAAAACACCCAAATTGATTTGATATGTTTTAATGATTTATATTGGTCCATTTTACTGTCAGTTATCTTTATAGCACAATTGATATTCTATTATCAATTCTGTAAAATTTTCGGCAGATTTGAATGAATGCTCAGACATCATGTCAACCCAGAAAGTAGATGTTAAATATTTCACACTACTACTTTATGTGTTCTTTAAATGGCATTTAGTAACTGGATAGAGTAACAACAAAACACATACTTATGGAAAACAGCTACTAGTGTATTTAAGGCGACGTTTCGTAGAGTATTCTCTCAACGTTATCAAGCTAATACAGTAAAACAGGTATGAGGCAAATATATATAGACAAAATACAACAACATAACCGAAACCATACATAGCAACAACATGATCAAAGGCCTACACCAACACTTATTAAGATATACAATAGCAGATAGAGAGTTAATTAACTTATAGTCCATGGCCAGTGAGGATGTCTTAACAACAAAAATGGAAACCATACCTTAAAACAATTAGATCAAAGGATTGTGACACAATTTGGTAACAATATACAAAAGTAAGAAGAGAAACCGCTATGTTAAACGATCAATAAGCTGACTAAGTAGTTGCGATATTAACCGAATATGGGAGGTGATTATTATTATAGTTAAGACAATAAATTAAGGCAATGGAGTATATACAACAGATACATGTTACATGATGAAGGGTAGATTAAATATAACTGTTATTTCATTGCACATATCTATTAACACTTGTAATTTTATGATAGGATAATTAGATATGCAATAGAGTTATAGATTTAATGTAAAAACAAAAACAATTTATAACAATGAATATAGCACGATAGTAAATACAATAACTAGTCAAAAGATAACACACAGCACACTTGTACAGTTTATAAGGAGTGGTGGAACCATGCTATTATTTAAATTAGTTGATCATACGCATTGGGCAAAAATATCCCTGTATCACGGTTAAGATCTGGGCTGTTCCTTCTGATTTGTATTGCCTCCATTATCTTCCGTGTCTTTTCTATTGGGAGATTAGATGCCAGGGTTTCGTATGACTCAATTCTGTGTCCAGGGTTGGTCTGGAGATGTTGTGCAACAGCTGAGTTAGTGATGGACGACTTGGACTTGTGCTGGCTTATTCTTTTATCTAGGGGTTGTCTAGTTTCACCGATGTAAGTACTAAGACAAGAGCAGGCAACTTTATAGACACACTCTTTCTGGGGCGGGGGTTTATTCGGGAGGAGCTTACCATTAGCTTTCAGGATATCTTTAAGTGTTCGGCCCTTGGAGAAGGTGACCTGGATACCTATTGGGATGAGGATTCTCCTGAGGTGGTAAGTGAGCTTCCCTTGAAACGGTATGGTGATTCTTACAGGTGGTTTTTCTGGTTTGGTTTTTCCCGGATCTGTAGGGGTGTCAATGGTGGTTTTAATGGTCTTTTTAACAAATTGTAGAGGGTAGTTGTTCAAGTTTGTAAGGGCTTCTTCAATGTGGTCTAATTCTTTTTGGAGATGTTCTTTGTCACAGACGTTGACAGCACGGCGGGCTAAAGTTGCTATGGTTGCTTTCTTAACACTGTGTGGGTGGTGGGAATAGAAGTTAATGTACTGGTCAGTATGTGTTGGTTTTCTATAAACACTTGTTGTGAGCCTACCTTCTGTTTTCTTAACTAGTACATCCAGGAATGGGAGGCATTGGTTTTCTTCTGTTTCTATTGTAAATTTAATTCTGCCATTTTGGTTGTTGAGGTGATGGAGCAAGGCGGTGTGGTCTTCGTTCTTTATGGTTTGCTTGAAATAAGTTCTATATCGACCACATTTTAAAGGAAAATGAAATCTATATGCACTTATTCTTCATATCTTTATCTATAATCTTGTTGATTTATGTATGAAATAAAGATATAACCGTTCTGGTTATTCGAATATTGTATAAAGAGCTCTCTTCTCATGTCAAATAATGATAATAAATGTTTTCTTGGAGTGATTTTGAAGACCAAAAAAATAGGATGGAATAACCTCTTCAGGAGAACAAGAAATTCAAATGCAAGGGAGAGAAATGGGGCTTAATGTCCACTTGACACAAACTAGGTCATTTGACTCATTACGGGACTAACATATTGTTCAATTTTCTTTCAATAATTCGCTTGCACGTAGGGGTCTTTAGCAGTGGGAGGAAACCGGAGGACCAGAGAAAACCCACAAGTTGGACAGGCGACCCTACTCCTTGTCGAAACTTGACTCAATGACAGACTTTATATGACAACATGATTTCACGCGTACACGTTAAACCGCTAGATCTCCCAACCCCCTGATATTCAAATGCTACTCAAAGCTTTTATTCCCTTCATTTATTCTCTAAAACTATCTATTGGTTGTAAATCGTCATTGGTAATTATATATGTTTATGTAATTGTAATACTAATTGTATGGTTGATTATTTTCAAGGTTTCATGATGACAGATGAAGATCAGTCTCTGGAGGCGACTAGTTCCGCTGCAAAAGCCATGTTACAACAACGCCAATTATTAACAGATATGAGTAAGTATTGGTTAATGATTTATAAAATCAGTTAGCATTCTGGAAATTTAACTAAAATACATGTATTCATTTTGAAAATTTCTGTCAAAATATTAAAGTTTCTGAGCATGATTTGAGTGATATAGGAATCCTTTACAAACTACAATTTTGTAAAATTTGAATTTCTGATAGTCCCAAATGGTTGAATTTAAAAAAAGACATGATGAACAGAAATTCCATAGATCTAGGCTGATCCTTATGTAAACAACTCCACCACCGTCTTTATCATTTGAATCATTGATCTATAAGAAACCATGATATACAATATGTAGATATTCTATTTCAGGATCTCAGAATTATGATGTTATTAGATTTGCTACGTATAGAACGGCCTGTAAATTACGATTTATACAGAAAAAAACAAACTGTAAGTAGTATTATATATCATTGGTATTCTTAATTATCAGCTCAAATTTCTTTTTGTACAAGACAAATTTAAATCTGATCATATATATTGATCAATTATACACAAAAAATCAGATTACTTCCTTCTTGTCATGTTACTAGAGACTATATTTAAAGGACTAAGTCTCTTTGATTTAGGTCAAAATAAAGTATTTAATTGAATTGATCTGATGTGTTATTTAGATTTGTTATAGCAAAGCTCTATATGAGTTTTTGTTTCGAAAGATGGAGTAGAAGTCGACTCGTTTAGTAATTTTAATTTCATTTTTCACTAAAAACACAATCTCAGTTACTGTTATGATATATACACATAATGTGGGCGAGGTTTCCTACAAGAACTTTTTAAAGGGTTGCATGTAGATTGCACAAGTGGATGTAGAAAATGCAAGACATGTTTCACCCATCTAAACTTATTTAAAATTGTGCATTTTCCAGCCATCTCATATATCTATATATTTACTCATCATTTTAGAATCAATTTATGGTGCTCAGAAATGTTATAGTGGATGGTTTTAAGCATGAATGTCAGTATGCCACTATTAAATAGCCTGTGAGAAACAATTGCAACAAAGAAATTGAATCGTGAAATGCGATCCAGTCACTGGTGTCATTAATATTGAATATGCATTCCAATTGTATAACAATTAAAAAATAAAGTATTGAGTATTTATCTTAAAAATCAGTGATGTTATCAAACCCTCCATATATATAAGATAACATAATTTTTATATGCCCACATTGAAATGTGGTCGTATATTGTTGTGGACGCTCTAAAGGCTACATTTAATACCCGATTGACTTTAAATTTATACAGTGTTTAAGGTCATGAGACGAAGAAGCCTATTGAATTTCAACAATTTCCGATAATTACTGCCAGAGTTATGGCCCTTGATCACTTTGAAAAATCTTGTGGATGCTCTAGAGTCTAAAGTTAATATCCGGGTGACTTTAAATTTATACACAATGTTTAAGGTCATCAGACGAAGAAGCCTATTGATTTTCAACAATTTCCAATAATTACTGCCTGGTCCTTGATCACTTTGAAAAATCTTGTGGATGCTGTTTAGAGACCATAGTTATCAACAGATTGATTTTATATTTATACATCGTGTCTATGCCTATATATAATCGTTTCGATTGACTTTAGATTAATACACAGAGTTTAAGGTCTTGAGACGAACAAGTGTATTGATTTTCAATGATTTTTGATAACTGGAACAACTAAATCCATGATATTAAATGTTTTGCATAGTAAACGTTAGCATGGCCCAAACAAATTGTAATGATTTTCTGATAATCACTTGATGAGTCGTTACTCTTAATCAGATTTTAGTGTATTATAAATGTTTCATTACCGACAAAAGTAAAATGTGCGACAACTCTTGTTGACTGCCCAGACAATTTGGCTGCTGTGGGCTATGTTTCGTTGCCTGGCAATCTATCTTTTTTATATATATATATATATTACTTTCTAAATTTAGTTAAACCAAGTTAAAAGTACCAAAAAGCCATTCAAAAATGTGAAAAAGGACTAACCACTTTTGTTTTCACCACTTGTCTCTCAGTCATGATGATGATGTTGCTATACGTATTGCTTGCCTCTCTGCAATTTTGTCTTATAGGTTTATGTTTAGTTTTGCTGCAATCCTCCTGCACTTACTATTAGAGTTTGGATTTTTACATGAAATAAAAGCCTTATGCCTGAAGTTTTTAAAAGAAATAATACCCAAACCCCCCCATCCTCTCATAGTTTGGAAAAAAAGGGAGGATCAGCATCTAATTCTTTTGAAGTGGCCATAAGTATTGAGTTTTTATCTCATATCACAGTGCATTATACCCATCAAATATGTATAATAATGAAGCGTTATTAATTAAATGAAAGATTGGGTTAATCAATGTTGTTGATAATATAACAATAATGTAATTATCTGACCTGATAACAGTAATCTTAGATAGTTCTTTGTTAAACTCCATCTTCATAATTTTGAGTCTTCCAATCTCATTAATTTTATGAAGCATTATATAATTAATTGCTTGTGAGACAGTGTCACAATGATCCCACAAATATTATTTTTAAAGATACCTTGACAAATTTAATTTGTTTTCAGATAAACCTCGGTTAATATTTGGTACTGCTTTACTTACTGGTACCTTTTATTATTTTATTTTCAGTTCATTTAATTGATATTTGGAATGTTATACAGGCATTCAGAGAGAATGGACTAAATACGATGGATCCGAGTTATGAACTTAGTGCATCGAAAGTAGAATCTATATTAGCATCATTGTTCACACAATTAAATAAAAGACTTCTAGCTACTAATCAGATACCTGCGGAAGAATCTAAAATTCTACTGTTAAATTGGATATTAACTGCTTACGACAGGTACATAGAAAACTCATTGGTTTAATAATGAACCCCTTATAATGAACATGCACCCTGATTAATAATTGGTTGAATGATTAAGTTTTGGTTAAATGATAAACTACCATCAAGTGATAACATTATTTGGTCAATGGGCACAATAAAATACATGTACAGATATTCAATTATACAATTCAAGTTTTTTGGGGAAACACAGGACTTTACATTAAAAATACTGTAAGTAAAATAGAAAGTTCTATATCAATGATTCAGTATAATGAACTTGATATTTTACTAAAAAGCTGACTTGATACTAAAGAAAATAGTATTGTAGATTGTAAAGATTTTTTGTGATTATTTTGTAGAAATAATAGTGGTAAAACACGGGTTTTAGCTGTTAAAGTTGTCCTTTCTCATCTTTGTTCAGGAAAACTGGTGGATAAGCTTAGATGTAAGTATTTACATGTACAGGTATTACATGTATAATTAATTGTGTTAAATGCATGTAAAGAGAAAAAAAATGTTTTTGATAGATAAATTGAGAATCTTCTACAAGTCTTTTTTGATATCAAAAAATATCAACACATGTCGATAAAGTTAAAAAAAACGAGGCTCTGCCGATTTTTCTTTACTTTATCGACGAGTGTTGATATTTTTTTAATATCAAAAAAGACGAGTAGGAGATTCTCTGTTTATCATACAATCCCTTCTTACATGCATAAATAGATAAATATAATTCTTTGCTATAGATTTCACTTTTACTGAACCTGATTACATTACAGCGTAGTGATACATCATTTTTTGACAGCAATTTAACCATTGCAAAGTCCTTTATATTGACCCAGTGTTTCCATCAAGGTCAATTAAATAAAAATAGTTCCTTTTTAATAAGAAATAAGTTACTTTTAATAAAAAATTAACTGTTCTTTGAAAATAAAAAAATTAGTTCCTTTTTGATTGACCAATCAAATTCATGTAAAGTGATATCTCCTAAGGAGATATCGCAGTACATTATGAAATTTATCACACAAGCGATATCTACTGTAGAAAGTATTGTTGATAAATATCTTTAAGCAGATCTACAAGGAAATTGCTGTCAGTTATCAGACGGGGAAGTACCAGTATAAAAGTTTTTTATACACCCACGTAAACTTGTGGTACATATATAGGTGTCACTTAATTAATTCTGTCTCTTCATTTTGTTGGTCCATAGTTTACATTTCTCGTGATCACTCTAGTGACTAGATTTATCATTTGACCTTTTTTAAATTTATTTTCTTGATTTAAATTAGTAAGATGAAGAAACCTTTTTAATTTCAGCGATTTCTGTAATTGCCCTTCTATTATTTTGATAATTTCACTTTGATTCCTAAGGGTTTTCACAAAATTGTAGAGGTTTGCCTTTGATAGTTGTATATTTGAAAAGCAGTTAAACACAATATTAAAAATTTTGGTAATAATGCTGGTATTTTGAAAATGTCCTAAAAAGAATATGTAATTTGAGAGGAGATCAAGTTCCTCTCTACTTCAAAACTACCAGCCTGAACACTTCTGTATCTGCCATTGTACATAATTTTATGTATTCTATAAGATATGAGGGCCTGCTGAAAAGTTCTAAGCCTGAAAAGGATAGATCAAATAGGTTAAAAGAAACTTTTGCCACCAACAAGTACAGTCATTGACAGAATCATAGACATATTAGACTGTAGTGTTATTATTGTCTAGCCGGTCATCATTTTCTAGTAATGGTGACACCATGTCAGCTGTGAACGACTTTTTCTTAGGGTAGCTGAAGAAAATTTCTTCCTGACCAGCATCCATATCTTGCAAAATCGTTGGCAAATGTGTGTACACCTCGAAGGTGACTTTGTAGAAAGATGTCTTTCACAGACAGGCTTAGAACTTTTCAGCCAGCCCTTATACTCTGGTTTTTCTATCTGAAATGTATTCTGTTCCCCAAAATAAAATAGCTATATAACATCATTTAACCGAAGTTGAATAATCATTACCGATACATCAATAATAGGTTTTAATTAGGAAATCTAGACGTATTGCATATTATTAGTAATGTAAGTATTGTTTTAGAAGTAGGTTGGCTAATGATAATTAATGAAATTGATGTAATTATCACCTTATATATATATAGCGTTAATAGTAATAGATGAGATAGATTTAAAGTAGAGTCACGAACGTCTCTATATAAAGCTGTGACATATACTCTGTGTTAGAATATGTTGTTGTCATTGTAAATCTTGGATTCACTGATTCACTCTTTCCATTTATGTGCAATAAAATATGACTGAGGTAAGGTTTAGATAAAAATTTACAATTGAAATTTAAAAAGAAATTTATATTCTTGGTAATGTAAATAGATGGCTTGGACCTGTACCTGTAATTCAAATTTAATTTGCGATTTAAAATTCTGAAAGAACAACTAAAAAGATTTATGTTAGCTATTGTATAGATTTTTATTTTAAAATTGCACCATGAAGATATTTTGTGGAATTAATTTGATCAGGCTGTGACTTAATAATTAAATAAATAAATGTTTTTGAACGTTTTATGAGATAAGAAATAACAGAAGTCAACTGATTTAAATAATGATTATTGAAACTAACCTGTCACAGATGGTTACTATATTTGATTGTTGATTAACGCTTTATTGATCAACTTGTCTTATAGATTGTTTAATTAACATTGTTCTCTGCTACACATGTGGGCCAAATTATCCATTGCTTTATACAAGCAATAATTTACTTACATAAAGCCAGTGCATAATATGCTATGCAGTGAAACACTGAATACATAGTGTTTTTCTCTCATAAGGATGTTACAGTGCTTTGTATTTGATATTGATGTACTGGTAGATGATGTCTAATTGTGAGAATATTTTTTACTTTTATTGAAGAACTGAAAATTACCTATGAGAGATATTTAACGTTATTTTACAGATATTTTTACGCAGTTGTCTGATTCCAGTGGTTGTATGATCTGGTCTCGATTTGAAGTCTACCTCAGAGATTTATTGACAATACCAACAGCAGTTTTTGAAGGTCCGTCATTTGGATATAATAGTTCTGCAGCTAGAAGCTGTTTTGAACCTGTAAGTATATATTCTGCTATTTATCCTAAGGATCTTTTTTGACCTGTTATCAGTTCAAGTTATGGTTTCAATTCCAGGTTTGTGAATAGATTGTAACTAACCTCTGCTTAATAATACACCCATCTTTCATCTTTGATTCTATTGTTATGCATGGTAAGACTTGATTATATTGGTTATGTTCTGTTAGTTCCTCAGTCATAGATGTTCAATACTTTTGTCCTTGCTGAGCTATGACTCATAAAGTGAACAGTGCTTGTCTTATTTGTATTCAATATTCTCAAGTAGAAAAAAACCACATAAGGTAACATATCTTTGTTGATGTTGTATAGTGATAAGAAATAGAGTGTCTATAAAAGTTTATAAAAAGTATTAAATGTTCTCATTATTATAATATTATAGAATAATTTAGAATTCTAAGCAGATTAGTTACAAAAGGAAGAAATAGAATACTTTATAGCTTGTTATTATAATTCATAATTTAATTTAAAACCCAGTACCGGTATCAGGAATCACTGAAATTGAAATGTATTTTTATACGCCCACATGGAAATCTGGACCTATATTGCCGCGCCCCCATCCGTTCGTCGTCCACAATTTCTTGTGATCACTCTTAACACCAAAAGTTATGATCCGATTGTTTTAAAATTGATATATGTTGTTGACATTAGTGAGATGAAGAATCCTGTTTAATTTCAATAATTTCCGTTTATGGCGTCTTAGAGTTATGGCCCTTGTTTCACTTTGTTGGACACGCTCTAACGCCAAAAGTAATCATCCGATCTTTGTGAAATTTATATGCATTATTTAAATTAGTGAAATGAAGAATCCTATTGAATTTCAGCAATTTCCCGTAATTACTTCTAGAGTTATGGTCCTTGTTTCACTTTGTTGCACCTTGTGAACGCTCTCACATCTAAAGTTATCTGCTGATCTGTATGAAATTTATATGTGTCATTTAAATTAGTAAAAAGAAGAATCCTATTGAATTTCAGTAATTTTCGTTTATTATTTCTAGAGTTATGGCCCTTGTTTCACTTTGTTGCACCTTGTGAACTCTCTAACATCAAAAGTTACCTGCCGATCTGTGTGAAATTTATATGCGTCATTGAAAGTAGTAAAAAGAAGAATCCTATTGAATTTCAGCAATTTCCGTTTATTATGTATAAAGTTATGGCCCTTGTTTCACTTGTTGAACCTTATGTGGACACTTAAACGCCAAAAGTTATCATCTGATCTGTATGAAATTCATATGCATCATTTAGATTAGTGAAACCACAAAGCCTATTGAATTTCAGCAATTTACAATAATTACTTCTAGGCTTATGGCCCATTTTTCACTTTGTTCAACCTTGTTAATGCTCGATTGATGAAAGTTATAATCCGATATGTATGAAATTTTATACCTTGTGAACATTCGAATGACAAAAGTTACCATCCGATCTGTATCAAATTTAAATGCATTATTTAAATTAGTAAAACGAAAAAGACTGTCAAATTTCAAAATTTCCTGTAAATTACTTCCAGAGTTAAGGCCCTTGTTTCAGTTTTTAGAACCTTGTGAACCCGTAAATGACAAAAATTATAATTTGATCTGTATGAAATTGTCTTGTAAATGCCCCCAATCACCTACAAAAGAATAAATATGGGTCAACCCTTGTCGACTGCTTGGACGATTTAGCTGCTGTGGACGTATGTTTCATTGCCTGGCAACCTATCTTTTTTTTGTTTTAAGAATCATGAAAATTTTAACGCCTTCAAAATCCAAAAATTTCAAATGATGTCATATTACAAAAGCATCATCTTGTTCTTTTTTTAAGGGCTCATAATTTCTAAAAATTTTCAATTTTGTCTTCCACCTTTTTGAAGAAAGTAGGGAATTATTAAAATGAGTCTGTCTGTCTGTCCATCTGTCAATCACATTTTTCGCAGCACAATAACTCTGCTTCTAATGAAGGAAGAATGTTCGAACTTGGTATAGATGTTTATTAGACTAATGCCTTGACAGAGTTTGGTGATGAAAAGTTTCTACTTTAGCTAAGCAGCTGTCCATCACTCAACCTATCCATCACACCTTTTGGAACACAAAAACTCTGCTTTTCTAATTGAGGTAGACTGTTCAAACTTGGTATAGATGTGAATGTATTGACCGAGTTTGATAATGAGCATTTCCTGCTTAGGCTAAACAGAGATAATCAATTTGATTTGTCTGGATTTGGAACACAATAACAATATCTAATAATGTCTTAGGGATGAATATAGTTTTGAAATATTGTTTTGTCTTTTTTTTTATATTAATTTATCCAATATTTTACGTATTAGTCTGGAGGCTGCGCATTCACTTTCAGTGTAAATGACCTCATTTGACCTTTGCCCCCAAATATCTTAAAAACACCCCAATGGCGGACTGATTACCACTTGGCAAAATTGGTTGGATGGTCTGGTTTTGTGCCCATTTGATGGACCCCCCTGCCATTATTATAAAGTGGTTGAAACAAAGAAATCACATTTGTAGATTATATATGGTATAAATTGTAAAACTGAAATATTAAATTGTCATAAATTTGGAAGTGTATAATAAATGGCCAATAAATTGTTATTAAATGTCAGTTTGGTGAATCATGTATATACAAGCTGTGATTTATGCATATTTCTATTTGAATATTATATATGTGTTAATAGTGCATCTAAAAATGAAGCTTTAAATCTGTTTAATCCCCACTTCTTTTAAAAATAAAAACTGGTAGTGCAACAGCACTAGACCAATATCACTACCTGAGACTAGCTACCCAACAGCTCGAAACAGACAAAACTAACAGACAAATACAGTCACAAATAGATCATTTCTAAACCAAACAATTCATGATATGTATGAAGAGATTTTTTACTCCATTATTGTTTACCATATATTTCAGACTTCAAAAGTGAACATTAATGATTTTTTAAGTGTTTTGATGGCTGATCCAGGTCCTCAATGTTTAATGTGGCTTCCAATATTAACTCGAATAGCTACAGCTGAAAATGGTACGTATATTAACGTATTTTCTGTCGGACGTTGCTTGTGAAAAGATTGTATTTCTATTAATATCATTGAAATTAAAAACATTTATTAAAGATACATTGGCCCGAAAGTATTTATCGGGTGGTTATTTACAGTAAAACTATACAAAATTTGGTATATATGGAAAGTATAGACATCCGATATTGGATTACCCGAAAAAAAAACTTGTATCAAGCACTGGGAAAAAATGTCAGGGTATCACTAACTGTCTGCCAGCTTATTGTCTGCTGTTTCTTGATCAAATGGTTAGGCGGTTTTGGGAACCTTAAGGGGTGTCAACGTACAAAAGAAGTTGACAGAAAATAAGAATTTACTTAGACCTCAATATGTATGGTAAATGGACAGTAGGCCCTTAGTAATGAAAAATACATTCTGAAAAATGGACCCTCCCTTAATGAAGTGAGGAGACAATAATGACTTCTAACAGCAGTTTATTTATAGCTTGAGGTATCTCACCAAGAATACACAGTTTTGAGAGTGATTTGCAGCAAATTTTTGATAGATTAATTAGTTTTTAGTCCAAATATATCATCAAATCACACAGTTTGTATGCAGGGAAAGTATCTTTAAAGATACATACTGTTTATATAATTAGGTCTTGTATTGAACCCTCAAAACTTAATTTTATCTAAATTATAAAATAGAATCAGATGTTACAACAACATCTAATTACCAATAATCAAAAGACTTACCAATATTACAAATCAACATATACTTCACAATGTGTGTGCTGCTTGTCCTACATTGTCTCTTCATATTCTATGTAAGCCGTATGAATTTACTAAAATCAATCCCGATCAAGACCTATCCAGAGATACGTGAATCCGTATATCATTATCACTGTATATTTTAAAGATGCATTATTTACAATTTAGACAAAGAGCTGTCCGTTCTTGCTATAATAATTCAAAATTAGATAATGAAAATTGAATGTATTTAAAATTTCATTCAAATTAATTTATTCTGAGCAAAGCTATCAGTGTTTGAAGTTTTGACAAGATGTAACGTAGATTGTTTATTATCATAGCAACAGTAATAAAGTCTCGATTATCCATATTATTCGTTAAATTATTAAATCTTGCGGATGTTCAAGTCTTGGCCATCCATTTGTCTAGAGAGTTGATTATGGGCTTGTCATGTGAATAAATGTTTATATAATAGTTTATATAACATTTGAAGCTAAAATACAGAAAAAGATTAAAAAACTTTTAAATTCTAAAGCATTCACTAAAAATATAATAATTAAAAATTTGATGGTGTAAAAAAAGTTTTATTCCCCCTATACAATGTATTGATAGTTGTTAATAATATTTTTTTAAAAGATTGATACTTTTTCTTTTGTGTTATTGGTATGCACACAATAATTAACTAGAATACCAATTATCTATTTTTAGTTTTACATCCCATTCCATGTGAAGGTTGTCATCGTCAGTCATTTACTGGTCTACGTTATAAATGTGATAGATGTCATAATTATCAACTGTGTCAGGATTGTTTCTGGCGAGGTCGTGTTTCAGGAAATCACAATATAGATCATCCAATGAAAGAATATAAATCATATGTAAGTATAATCAGTATTAAAATGTTATACATATTTCATTTCTTGGGTATATGTTTGGACTTAAGATTGTATAGATATTGGAGAAGCACATGTTCGAGTTTATATCAGAAACATGTCTTTTGCCCCAATAAAGAAAGCGAGAGGCTTGTCAGGTCCTCTTATATGCCAACCAGCAGTCATTTCAGCATGTTTACAGGCTTGACAAATTAAAACATATACAGTATAAATGATTAATTACCTGACAAACGGACCAAATGAAATAAAATGGAGTTTAATGTCCTACTGTCCTGCCCCAACTGGGCTAATGAAGATAGAACAAAACCACCAATGATGAAAAGGTGACACTAGTATATGTTGATATTAAATGCGGGCTTAGCTTATACAAAGAGTGTTGCATCTATGAGTTTCTAATGTAATATAGTTATTTGCTCATTTTTTGGAAGAATAAAAGCTACAAACGATATTTGATAAGCAATAAAATTTACAAATAAAATATTGAATAATATGAAGTAAGTAGCCTATATTGTGATGTGAACAAACTGTGAAATAAATATTTAATTCCTTTTTATTTTCTTTTTTTCTTTTTTTCAAGAAAAGCCATGTTAAACAAATTGGTCATTCCATCAAGAAGTCTTTCCATTGTGTTCCTCATAAATCTAATCATAAATTACCACATTACCCTGATGCACCAGAAAAGAAAATAGATCTGTCATATATAGTGTAAGTTTCTATCTCATTTAAGCCACAGAAAAAAAATAATTCTGGTTTTTGAACAATCCTAAAGTATATGACAGTCCTGTGTCACAGCCTTCTACATATGACCTTATCCTTTCACATATCCTGTAGCACAGCACTAAATAATAGATGCATGTATGACACTACTGTCCCACTGTGGAACATAATCCTGCGTCGATACACCAAATAAAGGGATGTGACACAACAGCTATAGGAACTATCTAAGACTATTCTATGTCACAACAACACTTCAATATTTTGTATTTCATTTTGGACTCGTCAATGCCTTGGGGCATGATAACTTTTATTCTAATGTAAGTGAGTGGTGAAACTTGGTGTATAGTTTCCAAAACATCAGTACCTTGTTGAATAAGTTTGATAATGAGCATTTTCTATTCCGGTTAAGTTGAGTTATAAGAAATGTGATTGGTTGGTCAAGGCTTTGGAGCTTGATAACTTTACATCAATATCTTGATAAGCATTTTCTGCTTAGTCTAAAGTAAAGACTTCTGTTTGATAGGTTAACACTTTCGAACAGAATAATGAATGATTTGTAGCCCATAATTCTCGTGTTTTTAATCACTTTCTATCAAGCGTTTAATTACTGGTATTGAATTAAAATTTAATGGTGGGGTTTTGTTGGGGTTTTTTTTTCAGCCCTCCAACCCCGATAGCATGTAGAAATGGTTATCCCACAAATTTAGTCGTACATACAGCTGAAGTGTCTTCCATGGACAGTACTTGTAGTTCAGCACCTAGAAGGTAAGATAAATAGTTTTATATTTTACTCACAGAGATAAACTAAAATATCATGATTTTTCTCATTCATTGACCTATCATTATTGGTATTAAAGTAGCAACAAATAGATTTTCAAGGTAAATAAGAAGGAAGGGATGAGCCAATAATATAGTAATTATTACCTTGGGGTAAGTTTTTATTTCGAGGTATTACCTCCCTATTCCCTATCTGACACGAGTGGGGTCAAACAGGTGTACAAACCAGTAAAATTTACAAGTTTGAATAAAAAGAAACTAAGGGATAGCTCTTTCTAATATTGCACATTTCTCTTGAACCAATTTAGCACGAATAAATTTAGACTTCAATTGAGATTTATAACAACCAGATTAAATTGAAATAAAAAAAAGAGAGTTCTTCAGTATTGTTAAAATGCATAAAACTAGTACTTAGTTCTTCAATCATAGGTTTTTTTCTTTTGATTCCAGTTAGTTTTATTATTGAGCATCAGTGTTGTAGTATTGAACAAGAGTTACTTCCCTTCTTCAATTTTCCGTCAATTCCAAAACCAACAACCTGATTGACTCAATCGTTCCATGTTAAATTGTCACTGCTTAGACAACAACGAATATTAGTCTGTACAAAATCACACCCAATCCATATAATTTTTACTGGCCGTCTGGCCTTTCGTGTATTTCAAGAACAAATAGTAAGACAAAAAAAAAAATTATGAGAGTCTCTCATAAACTGTGTTCAAATTAGGTGCAGTTTTGATCAGACTAATATTTGTGTGTTTCTTTATTTCTGAAATAGAAAAATACATTTATGTTATGAAAAAAATAAATTGTTATTTTTATTTTAGTCCAAGTAAATTACATTCAAGTATAGAATCATGTCGTATTGATGATGAACACAGACTAATTGCCAGATATGCTGCCAGATTAGCGGCAGATGCCAAAAATGCGGTAAGTTTTTGTTATTTGTTAACTGTCCAGTTTTTCTTTTGCATCGCATACATGGAAAAGAAGTAAGCATTTTATCCAAAAATCTTAGCCTACTTATATTTTTACTTCTGTGAATCTTCATGGGTCTATGACAGTAGCCTGACCCTGTGAAAATTAAACATATTAAAAAGGTATTTGACAAGCTGTCAAAGTGTAGCTCAATATAGTCTGGAGGCTCAGTGTGTGGGGGTGTCCATCAAATGGGCACAAGACCAAACCCAACTTTTCTAGAGTAAAATGTTGCGTAGAATACGATGCCGAGTGGTAATCAGTCTGCCGTTGGGGCGTTTTCGAGATATTCGGGGTCAAAGGTCAAATGAGTTCATTTGCACTGAAAGTGAATGCGCAGTCATTCTTGTATCATGAAAATAAGCTGAAAATGATCGAAAGTAATCACATTTAAAATAAAAATGTAAACTTGCTAAATTTACCTTTGTTCTTTGTGACCCCAGAGGTCAAAAGGTCACATTTTCCGTTTTTGCACTAGGAAGATTTAAAGCAATAAAATGTCAACGTAAAATATAAAAACTAAAACGAAACCTGTTCTAATTAATAATAGGAACATTTATCTTTAGGTGGTCTTAGCACCGAACTTTTACTTCGGAACGTCAAAAATGATCTTTCATAACAGAACCAAAACGCTTCAGAACCTGTTTCAAAAATATGTTGGGTCTGGTTTTGTGCCCATTTGATGGACCCCCCCTGCACTGAGCCTCCGGTTTAATAGAGGAAAATAAATTTTTAAGAATAGACAATTGAAACGATGTGCTTATGTTGTCGGTTGGCTTATTAGGCTACTTGTAAATTTTGACACTTCTATTGTATCGTATAATTTGAGGTCAAGGTAAAAGAGTCCTGCCTTTCATTTTGAGATATAAAGTATAAAAGAGTATGTGCTATTTTATCTTTTTTGTGTTTCTCAAATCACTGTAATTAATACATTATTAACATAGATAATGCATTTAGCCTTATTTACAAAATTGGGTATATTTATAATATTGAGATGTAGTTTCATTTTCTTATGGTCATGTAGAATTTATATACCTTATATAGATCACATTTAACATAGAAATTCACCTGATTTGATTGAAACCACTGAGAAATTTATCCTGTTTGTCGAAGGTTTTTGATGATAGTAAACAGTTGAGGTTGTTATTATATGAACCACAGAGAGTTACAATAAAACAAAATAAATGACACTGTTACTAATATCAAACTGACTGATCAACACCACCGCCCCTGGACTACAAGGCAGTAGGTTAGTGTGACAAAAAGCAGTGGAAACAATGATTTACAAAAGCGTGTAAATTTGCACTTTCAAGGGTAATCAATTTAGAAATGATTGAATAACTACACAAAGATTTTATTCAAGTTTTTAAGTAATTAGTAAGGGTAATAAATAGCAATGCCAATAAATAAAATCTATGTAATTAATAAAATGAATGAAAGAAATAAATAATGTCAAATATAATACACAATATGAATAGACCTAATAAACTAGAAATAAGCTTCTGCTCAAACTTCACTATTCAACAAATACAATTTAAAAAAATATCCTTATTTTCCTCATTCTGCAGTTTTCTAGCAATATTGTTTTATATAAGATAATTGGTGTGCCTATTAGTTTTATCATCTTTTTACATCAGATGAAACTGTAAAATATGCTTTTCATAACATATACTACCGGTACATTGTATTACCATTCGATTATCCTCTCACAATGTCAGGAAATCTGTTGTAATATATATTCAATAGAAAGCTTTCCATGTAATTGAGAATCAGTGAGTCAATTTCTCAACTTGAGAATAGTTTCAGGTTGTGTTGAATTCGAAATTTTGTATTTGATGTTTTACTTGCACAAGTGAAAATATCAGCCATTGCTGGCGTAAACAGTTTCCTATTTGTTTATATTATTTAACGCACATTTTAAGAGTAGGTGTATTGGAACCCATGTCAATAATTATATCAGCTTAATTGAATCTATAATGTGTTGATAACTATTTTGATTACAAATCTATCAGTTATACTATGCCTTACAATAACTCTAAATCGATATTGCATGCAAAGAGTTGCATTCCATATTTTTGGTGAGACAATTGAAAAATGGGTTCGTCCGTCTGTCTGTCTGTCTGTCCGTCTGTCTGTCCGTCCGTCTGTCTGTCCGTCACACTTTTTGGGACACAATAACTCTCTTCCTATTAAAATGGGTTCGTCCGTCTGTCTGTCTGTCTGTCCGTCTGTCTGTCCGTCCGTCTGTCTGTCCGTCACACTTTTTGGGACACAATAACTCTCTTCCTAATTGAGCTAGAATGTTCAAACTTGGTGTATGTGTTTATTAGGTCAATGCCTTGATGGAATTCGAAGATGAGCATTTTCCGCTTAGGGTAAGCAGAGATGAGCAATTTGATTGGTTGATGCTTTGGGACACGATAACTCTCTTCCTAATTGGGCTAGAATGTTCAAACTTGGTGTATGTGTTGATTAGGTCAATGCCTTGATGGAGTTCGAAGATGAGCATTTTCCGCTTAGGGTAAGCAGAGATAAGCAATTTGATTGGTTGATGCTTTGGGACACGATAACTTTTAATTGAGCTAGAATGTTCAAACTTGGTGTATGTGTTTATTAGGTCAATGCCTTGATGGAGTTCGAAGATGAGCATTTTCCGCTTAGGGTAAGCAGAGATAAGCAATTTGATTGGTTGATACTTTGGGGCACGATAACTCTCTTCCTAATTGAGCTAGAATGTTCAAACTTGGTGTATGTGTTGATTAGGTCAATGCCTTGATGGAGTTCGAAGATGAGCATTTTCCGCTTAGGGTAAGCAGAGATAAGCAATTTGATTGGTTGATGCTTTGGGACACGATAACTTTAGTTTTAATTAAGTGAGATTGATGAAACTTGGTGTATAGTTTCATTACAGTAATACCTTGACTAAGTTTGATAATGAGCATTTTCTGCTCAGGGTAAGCAGAGCGATACGCAATTTGATTGGTCGAGACTTTGGAAAACAATAACTCTCCTACTTTGATTGTTAGACTATAAGTAAAGATATACTGTTTGATTGTTCAATACTTTGTAAAAGATAATTTGTGATAAATTTATATGTGTCCTCTAATTATTTTCCTATTTCGGCGGGGGACATCAGCCTCACTGTTGGCTTGTTTAAAAATGTGGTAGAAAAGTACTACCATGCAGGAGAGTGGCACATGTGGCCTTTTCACGACACTCTAGGCAGAGTTGAAAGGTGTGATATTGTGCAAAACGTACCTAAAAAATATTTGTTTTACTTTTCTAAATAAAACCAATAATAAGTGATAATATAAATGAACATCTACAGTTAATATCAACATCATGGCAAGTTCTTGGGGATGCTAGATTGTCAGTTCGGAACATTCAGAATGGCTGTCCTGTGACAGTTCTATCATTACCGAAAGCCCTGACAACTAAAGTGGTGTCAGTAGAATTGTGACGTAATTCAACACAACAAATATGTTTCAACTCTCATGTTTTGTTGAGATATGTTCTTTTGCAGTGACCAAATGCATTGTAGCCTGAAATCCCCTTGTCACTCGATTGCCACTAATTTTAGATGTGAGAGAATTCCTGAATGTGGTTAGAAAGGGAAATAACTCTCATGGTTTTTGTCTACAATAAAAGTTACTTACAGAACACCAGAAAGTAGTACCAGTAACTAAAAAACTATAATATTTTATAGCAGATAAAATTTTACTAAATGACTGTAACAGTGTCTGTTGTCTGTTTAAATATGCAATAGGTGAATATAGGCCATTAGACGGTGGGAAAAAAAGTTGGCAGGGGATAGCTTAATCCAAGAATTTGCTTAGTCTTAGATATTTATGGCAAATAAATAGCATGTATAACGACAACTACAAACTGAAAATGGACCCTCCAATAAATGTCAAATGCCTAAAAGGGATGGCTAAAATAAATTTTTATAGGTTAGGAGTAGTTCCTGCAATTAAAGGTCACTGGAAAAGCATCCATTTTTTTATTAATAATGCAAGTAATTATGTCAACATATCTTTTCCATAAGTATAACCCTAACCTGAATATCAATATTACCTGCAACAGGTAAATTTCCGTCAATAAGCAATCCGTGACGTCATTTTAGTCCTTCTGCACTTAGAAATATAGACTAGAATATGAGCAGAAGGACTAAAATGACGTCACCGATTGTTTATTTACGGAAAGTTACGATTGTTATTGGCCTTGTTGACTTTTCAGAATCTAGTGGATGCATTAGTTAGATGAAGCCTAGGTGCCAATAAATTTGATCAATTTCTGAAATTTACTTTTAGCATTATTGTTCTTGTTTCCTTTGCACAATCTTGTATGGATCCGATTTAAGAATTACACCATAATGACAGGTGAATTTCGTGAAAATCGGACCGAAACTGTCTGACAAAATGACTGTTGCACCTTTGCAAATAGTATAAAAGTATGTAATACCAAGGTTGTAATCTGGAGGCTCAGTTGTGAGGGTGAGGAGGGAGGGGCAGGGGGTCCATCAAATGGGCACAAAACCAGACCCAACTTTTCTATAGTATTTTCCTGTTTAGAATACGATGCCGAGTCAGGACTTTTCGAGATACTCGTGGTCAAAGGTCAAATGAGGTCATTTACACTGAAAGTGAATACGCAACCATTCTTGTATCATGAAAACATGCAGAAAATGATCGAAACTAATCATTCATTCAATAAAAATGTAAACTTTGTTCTTTGTGACCCTGGAGGTCAAAAGGTCCAGTTTTCCGTTTTTGCACTAGAAAGATTTAACGCAATACACGTCAGCATGACATTTAACCAAGAGTTGCCAGGCAAGATACACACACATTTTGCAAGAGATGGATAGAGAACAAGCTAAAAAGAAAGCCATAATCAACTCTCAATGGCATTGCTAGTCTGCAATATTTATTGGATTAGGTTCCGATTTTCAGCTC